TCAGCCCCTCCCATTTTCATCTACCACCCTGAAACTGCTTGATTTGTTCCAAAACAAAAGTGTCATTTTCGTTTTAATTTATGAGGAACCATGAGATTCCCATGAGGAACCATGAAGTGATTCTTCCATATTAATAAGAGCACACATGGAACATTTGCAAATGTGGAATCCAACACAGATACCAACATATATAATTTCATTCCTTGCATAACCAGTCTCTGGCACATGATCTGGCACACGAAGAACAATTCATCCTCTTATTCGAGGCTGACGTAACCTGTTTGTAGCCATCAAGGCTTCTACTGGTGAGAAACCAGTCCTGGAACTCTCTGTTTTCCCAACAAGTGAAACTTGGAAATCAGGGAGTCAAATGAATGTGAAGAAACCAGTCCTCACTTCTGGGCTCCAGGACTTCATTGTGGTGTTAAATGTCCAGTTTGTTCCTAGAATTACTTTTAAATGGAAGGATTAGAAAATAGCCACTGTGGTACAGTGGTCAGCATGTTGAACTATGACCGCAGAGACTCAGATTCAAATCCCTGCTCAGTCAGGAAACTCGCCTGGGGAATCAGGCATGGTGAGATAGAAGGATCTACTCTGATGTTGTTGTTGTTTAGTCATTTAGTCGTGCCTGACTCTTTGCGACCCCATGGACCAGAGCATGCCAGGCACTCCTGTCTTCCACTGCCTCCCGCAGTTTGGTCGAACTCATGCTGGTAGCTTCGAGAACACTGTCCAACCATCCCGTCCTCTGTCGTTCCCTTCTCCTTGTGCCCTCCATCTTTCCCAACATCAGGGTCTTTTCCGGGGAGTCTTCTCTTCTCATGAGGTGGCCAAAGTATTGGAGCCTCAGCTTCAGGATCTGTCCTTCCAGTGAGCACTCAGGGCTGATTTCCTTCAGAATGGAGAGGTTTGATCTTCTTGCAGTCCATGGGACTCTCCAGAGTCTCCTCCAGCACCATAATTCAAAAGCATAAATTTTTCGGCAATCAGCCTTTTTTATGGTCCAGCTCTCAGTTCCATACATCACTACTGGGAAAACCATAACTTTAACTATACGGACCTTTGTTGACAAGGTGATGTCTCTGCTTTTTAAGATGCTGTCTAGGTTTGTCATTGCTTTTCTCCCAAGAAGCAGGTGTCTTTTAATTTTGTGACTGCTATCACCATCTGCAGTCATCATGGAGCCCAAGAAAGTAAAATCTCTGTCTCCATTTCTTCCCCTTCTATTTGCCAGGAGGTGATGGGACCAGTTGCCATGATCTTCGTTTTTTTGATGTTGAGCTTCAGACCATATTTTGCGCTCTCCTCTTTCACCCTCATTAAAAGGTTCTTTAATTCCTCCTCACTTTCTGCCGTCAAGGTTGTGTCATCTGCATATCTGAGGTTGTTGATATTTCTTCCCGCAATCTTAATTCCGGCTAGGGATTCATCCAGCCCAGCCTTTCGCATGATGAATTCTGCATATAAGTTAAATAAGCAGGGAGACAATATACAGCCTTGTCGTACTCCTTTCCCAGTTTTGAACCAATCAGTTGTTCCATATCCCGTTCTAACTGTAGCTTCTTGTCCCACATAGAGATTTCTCAGAAGACAGATGAGGTGATCAGGCACTCCCATTTCTTTAAGAACTTGCCATAGTTTGTAGGACGATCCAAAGTGAATCTGGTCAGGATTATAAATACCTGTGGGCTAACAATGAGAAATAGTGGGAGCACCAGGCACACAATCTAATCACGACACATTGGATCGGAGTTCCCCCAAATCTCTCTGAATTACCTTATATTTGCGTTCCTGTAAGGTAACAGGAAACATCAACAAGAAACATCAACAACCTCACAAAGAGTCGGACAAGACTAACAACAACAACAACAACAACAACAACAACAAAAGGTAACAGGCCCTTACTCAGTCCTGATCACCTGGAAGTAGAGATGGGCGAATCTATCAAGCTTCTCATTTTTCCAATCTCAAATTTTGTTCTCCACATTTTCACAGCAGGCTGATGATGATGATGACGAAATACAATCTTCATAACAATTCACGAGCATTTTAGTGTGATTTTTTCTTATTATACACATTTTCACATGTGGTTTTTTTCCCCAGTGTACATACTTGCACGATGAATTTTCACTATGCATTTTTGTATGTTTTTTCACACACACCTTACTCTAGTACATTCATTTTAGCACAGAGCTGCATTGCAAAATTCGGGGAACTGCGAATTTCGAAGGACATCTCTGTTTCGGTTGATGTATTCTTTCAGGAAGTGCAAATGAGGTCAATTCTGCTTTAAAGGCAAAAGGAACTGAATTCCTCCCACAGTCCTATAAGGGAGCCCCAGGTGCCTACAGATGTATGTGTGCAGCCCATCTTTGCAAATATACAGTAGTATTTGAGGGTGTTCTAAACATACATCGAAATGCCCCAAATTTCTGTGTTTTAGGGTTCTGTTTGTTGCAATAATGCTGCTCTTCCAATTTCCCTCCTCCCCAAGGCTGGGTATTCCATTTGCTTGTGTGACATTTTGTTCCATTCTTTACTTAGAGCATTTGTACACTGCTCTTCAGCCAAGCCGATTCCCCAGAACAGATTAAAAGGTAAAGGGACCCCTGACCATTAGGTCCAGTCGTGACCAACTCTGGGGTTGCGGTGCTCATCTTGCTTTATTGGCCGAGGGAGCCGGCGTACAGCTTCTGGGTCATGTGGCCAGCATGACTAAGCTGCTTCTGGCGAACCAGAGCAGCGCACGGAAACGCCGTTTACCTTCCCGACGGAGCGGTACCTATCTATCTACTTGCACTTGACGTGCTTTCGAACTGCTAGGTTGGCAGGAGCAGGGACCGAGCAACGGGAGCTCACCCCGTCGCGGGGATTCAAACTGCTGACCTTCTGATCGGCAAGTCCTGGGCTCTGTGGTTTAACCTACAGCGCCACCCACGTCCCTTCAGATTACATGCAACCAAAACAAGACAGTCAAGAACAGAGGTTGGCAAACTCAATCAGAGGATGGGCCGGTCGACACTCCGTCCACCGGAGGACGTGTGCTCTTTTGGTTCGGAGGAGCGCCCATGTGCGTGCGCACACGCTATTTCGGGTGCTTCTCCGTCCCGCATGCCTATGTGCACGCTGTTTCTGGTGCACATCCGGGTCGGAGGAGTGCCCGTGTGCATGTGCACAGGCACCATCAACCCGGAAGTTGGTCTCCGTGATGCACTACACCACAGTGCGCCGCAGTGCGCTGCGCCGGTAAGAGCAGGGGGGCAGGGGGGCGGGAGGGGTTGGCATGGGCCAATTAGACAAACCTCGTGGACCGTTACCAGCCCATGGGCCTTAGGTTGCCAACCCCTGGTCAAGAACGTCTACCACTTGGAAGATTGGGAAAGGTTGTGGAAGAAAGGGGTTACGTTTACTGCATGTACGGTTCTAAAGGAAAACATTATGAAAATGATGTATGTTGTTGTTGTTTAGTCATTTAGTCGTGTCCGACTCTTCATGACCCCCTGGACCAGAGCACGCCAGGCCCTCCTGTCTTCCACTGCCTCCCGCAGTTTGGTCAAACTCATGCTGGTAGCTTCGAGAACACTGTCCCACCATCTTGTCCTCTGTCGTCCCCTTCTCCTTGTGCCCTCCATCTTCCCCAACATCAGGGTCTTTTCCAGGGAGTCTTCTCTTCTCATGAGGTGGCCAAAGTCTTGGAGCCTCAGCTTCAGGATCCGTCCTTCCAGTGAGCACTCAGGGCTGATTTCCTTAAGAATGGAGAGGTTGGATCTTCTTGCAGTCCATGGGACTCTCAAGAGTCTCCTACAGCACCATAATTCAAAAGCATCAGTTCTTCGGCGATCAGCCTTCTTTATGGTCCAACTCTTACTTCCACACATCACCACTGATGTATAGATGGTACTTAACCTCAGTAAAATTAGGAAAGATTTCCCATATGAGTGATAACGTATGTTGGAAATGTAAAGAAAAAGAAGGAACCTTTTACCATATGTGGTGGGCGTGTCCAAAGGTGGAAGACTTCTGGGAAAATATATATAATGAATTGAAAAAAATATTGAAATATACATTTATTAAGAAACCAGAAGCCTTTCTACTTGGAATAATAGGAATGGAATTGCCTAAAAAAGGTGTTAGTTTGTTTTTGTATGCCACAACTGCAGCGAGAATTTTACTTGCCAAAAATTGGAAATACACAGGAAGATTGGCAGATGAAGATGTTGGTCTTTTTGGAGCCGGCCGACCTTACTGGAAGAATCCGCGATCAGAAAGAGGAGGAACATCAAGAAGAATGGAAAAAATTGAAGGAATATTTAGTAAAATATAACAATATAACATAAGTGGAAATACTTGCAAGTACTAAATTTGGTTTAGGATTAAACTATGTTGAATTGTATAAGATGATGGATTGAGAATATTATGAAAAGAAAGGAAGTTAGTAATTTGAACAAGTTAATTTTATTAGAAAGTGGATATTGGAAAGTTGCTAAAATGAGATTTAATGAAAATCAGTTAGGAAGGATTTGAGGAAGTCACCCAATAATGGAATGCAATTTGGATTTTTAACTGTAAGAAGCTTTGAACGTATGTATGTTTTTTTATTTGTTTGTTTGTTATTTTGTGTTGTGTTAAATTTGGAAAATTAATAAAAAAAATTGAAGAAGAAAAAAGAACATCTACCACTGAGAGTTTCCAGGGATCTTCTGCAGGCAGATCTCCTGCTGCAAACCTCAAGCCTCTCCCCTTTGAGGTTGTCACGTACATGTGATCCACTCCCTCTCTTTCTCTCTCTCCTGCATAATGATGAATTGCCTTTAGTGATCTCACAGGCCCACACCCATTCCCACACTGACCAACTCCTATGCTCATTCCTCAGCCAAGTGTGTCCCTCCCTATCCTCAGCTTCTTGAACCCTAAAATTATTGTGACCATGGCAACAAAAGGCAAACACCTCAGGGGTGTATATAACCCTAGAGGCCAGCAGTCTGGGATACAGTTCCACAGAACACTGCAAAGATGAAGACTCTGCTGGTTGCCTTGCTGGTGGCGATCTTATACGCCGGAAAAGGTAAGGCACATTTCTCACCTTTGCATAGGAAAAGAGCTGCAGAAAAGGACGGGAGACTTGGAGACTCATAGAATCGCAAGACTGTAGGGTTGGGATGGATGCGAAGCACTATCTAGTCATCTAGCATAAGATGTAAGCATCAGAGCATTATAATCTCAGGGCTGTGGGTCTGAGCCCCACACTGGGTGGAAGCATTGCAGGGCACGATCCTAGATGACTAGATAATCCTCGTGGTCCTTCCAACTGTACAATTCTGCGATCTACAATCTAAAAGGGGGACTCTAATATAATGCTCAGACCAGTGACTAGTGTTTAATACTAAATGCCCCATTAAAAAACCCACACCTAAGTTTCTAACACCATGGAGAGGTTTTTATTGAAGATTTATGAATGTATAAGAGTAGCCCTGCTGGCTCATATCTATGATCCATTTGATCTATCATCCTGTTTCTGTTAGTTCCCAGCCAGATGTTTTCAGGAAAGAGGGCACGAAGGCAACAGCTGTTGTCCCACCTCAGCCAACGGCATCTTGAGGTATACTGCACGAACTCTGGAGGTTCCATTTGGCCAGTGGAATTGTAGAAATTAATTAGGCATTGGTGCAAAGAAGCTTTGTTTCCTCTTTTTTCGTCCCGTCTGTCTGATAGTGGAGGGTTTAGAGAGGGCAAGTCAGATGAGGGAAGGTGGAAGGGACTGTGTAAATGAAGGCTTGTGTGAGTATCCTTTCAGAAACATCTAAAAGGCGATGGGAGAAGAAGCAACCACATCCCACTCAAACAAAAGATATGCAATAGACTATTGGATTAAATAACAGAAAAGCAGGTTTAGATTGTCCCTAGCCCAGCTGAATGTTGGAAGATTCTTATCCCTGCAGAAAAGTTTCGTAAGAAAGGTTGGCTCACCCAGACACGCTTCAGATACACAGGATGTACCTGTGGCAGGAACAAGTATCTGTCTAATGCGCCGTCATGCTCTCCCCTGCTCCTGCGCATAGAACATGTTACGTGATCTGACATTAGTGTACGGAAAGCTGTGTATATGAACAATCTGCCTAGGCGTTCCAGCCACCCTGCGGGTTTTTTGCATCAGAAAGATTGTAAGGGTGGACAGTTCACATACAGGTATGGCTCTATGTCTGTGGATGTTGAACGGCACGCATTTTGCACAGTGTGCCGAAAAGTTGCGCAGGAGAATGAAATTTCTCAGGACACACAGAGCCTTCATGCTGGGCCCTTTAGGAGGAAAATGGGGAAAATTAGGGATGTGATATTTTTGGATAATATGTTTTGTTTAAATTTCTAATAAAAATTTATTTTAAAAAATATTTGAGGTCCCATCCTCCAAATTACAATCCAATAGGATTGTAAGACTATAGCTGGGAAGGGGTGGGGACACACAAGGGGACTAGATTGAAACCAAACAAACAGTAAACAAAGGAAGAGATTTGGGTTGAAAAACTGCCCCTCTGGGCTTCCTGTTTCCTGTGCGCCAGGTGATGGACCCCTCTCCCAACGCCGCAGGAGAGAGACAGACAGAGATAACCAGATAATGATGAGGGAATTGCATTTTCTGCATTCCTCTTTGGTTGCAAGAGGAATCTGGCCCTCACTCGATGTTTGGCTGTCTGGCACTTGCTTCCCATGGAATGCGAGGACAGGCGAAGGCACTGGGTGCATGGAGCATTCTGGCTGCCGCGACCCCCTGATGCCGTTCCTGGAAGCACAGGTTATCCTACTAATTGGGTTTTTTAAATTGGAGTAAACCACAGGCAGGGGCTAGAGATGATGAGATAAGAAACTGTGAAAACAACCCAGCTACAAGGATTTTAAAGGTTTGGCTTGAGAGGGGATTTCATTCAGTGAAAGAAACGAGGGGCACACGGCTTGCTTATATTAAAGTTTTTCTCTACATTTATGATATGGCAACCCTCCCAGGAATGCAAGTTGAAAAAACCCACATCTGTAAAAGTGAGGGTGGAAGAAATTGGAATATAAATATTTAACAAAACTGGAACTGTGTGTGTGAGAGAAAGGAACTGAGAGAGAAGGGGGGAACATAACGCTTTGAAAATATGGAGCAAAGTTTTCCCTAACGTCCGTTATCCACAAAAGAATGCTTTTTGAGATTAGGATAATTGGCCATAAATCAGTGGCAGGGAAGAAAGGAGTCTAGCAGCTGTGGGAATAGAAGCTACGTGAAGTCTGGATTCAGACCATTCTTTCTAGGCTGGAGAAATGGCGAAGATGGCTTGTTTACTGGAAGCCAAATCATGGGATGAAGCAATGCGGTGACTCTGGAAACTGTGAGATAACTGCTTCTCTCGAGGCATGATGGGAACCATCACCAGTTTAGGAATGAAGGCTATAACATCATATATGGATAGGAAAATATCATGGGCGTGGGAACTATCACATGCAGGAAAGAATAAGGATTACACTTAGAGTTCCTCACTTGAAACTTTATAAATTTCATGCAGCTGCTGGGTGACCTTGGGCCAGTCACACTTCTTTGAAGTCTCTCAGCCCCACTCACCTCACAGAGTGTTTGTTGTGGGGGAGGAAGGGAAAGGAGAATGTTAGCCGCTTTGAGACTCCTTAAAAGGGAGTGAAAGGCGGGATATCAAATCCAAACTCTTCTTCTTCTTCTTAAATTACCTAATATACCAACACAAATGAAACTACAAGATTGTAGCTGTTATATAAGGGATTATTATATCTGAATGTAATGGAACTTATTAGGATTTTGGAAGGCAGAAAAAATGTAGAAGAATGAAGCCATCAAATCTAGCACATGGAGAGGCCAATTTGATTAAACTGTAGAATTTGAATAATTGGCATTAATAATTGTATTAACTGGATAAAATTGGTATTGTTATAATGAGGCTGTTATTGGAAAATCAATGAAAACATATTTAGAAAAAGGAAAACCTCCCCTCCATTTTGCCAACATGTCAGGGGCACAGGGCTGTGAAACAAACCATTGGTCATATTTGGCTTTGTGACGTCCATCACATTGCTTACAAGCTGTCACCAGGAAGCCTATTCAGAATGAAGGCAAAGTTTCCTGCCCTCACTTGGATTTGGCTTCCTTGGTCCATTTCAACTTCTTACAGAATCCTTCAGCTGCAGGGCTGTGTCAAAGTGGCAGGTTGCCCTGTACATTTTAATAAAAGCCAGAAAGAATTACAAACCGAAAGCTGTAATCCTGTGGGAATTGAGGTGGGCAGAACCTTGCTCTGTGAACATGGCAATACTTGAGAATAAATATGCAATGAAGTGTGCTTTGTGGGAGCGGCCTGGCCTGTTTGTCTCCTATTTTTCTGCGGTTGATTGCTGGGTGCATACAGCAGGCTTTCTGCTGGGTGGGGCTGATGATAGACATAGTACAAAACATCTGGAAGGCACCAGGCTGGAAAAGCCTGCTTTTCTTTATTCTTATAATTCTTATAATCATGATTGCTATTATAATATAATAATAATAATAATAATAATAACAATAATTTATTATTTATACCCCGCCCAGCTGGCTGAGTCTCCCCAGCCACTCTGGGCGGCTGCCAATCAAGTATTAAAAACAATACAGCGTTAAATATTAAAAACTTCCCTGAACAGGGCTGCCTTCAGATGTCTTTTAAAAATAAGATAGCTACTTATTTCCTTCACATCTGAAGGGAGGGTGTTCCACAGGGCAGGCGCCACCACGGAGAAGGCCCTCTGCCTGGTTCCCTGTAACCTCACCTCTCACAATGAGGGAACCGCCAGAAGGTCCTCGACGCTGGAATTCAGTGTCCGGGCTGAACGATGGGGGTGGAGACGCTCCTTCAGGTATACAGGACCGAGGCCGTCTAGGGCTTTAAAGGTCAGCACCAACACTTTGAATTGTGCTCGGAAACGTACTGGGAGCCAATGAAGATCTCTCAGAACCGGTGTTATGTGGTCCCGGGGGCCACTCCCAGTCACAAATCTAGCTGCCGCATTTTGGATTAATTGCAGTTTCTGGGTCACCTTCAAAGGTAGCCCCATTTAGAGCACATTGCAGTAGTCCAAGCGGGAGATAACTAGAGCATGCACCACTCTGGTGAGACAGTCCGCGGGCAGAGAGGGTCTCATCCTGCGTACCAGATGGAGCTGGTAGACAGCTGCCCTGGACACAGAATTGACCTGCGCCTCCATGGACAGTCGTGAGTCCAAAATGACTCCCAGGCTGCGCACCTGGTCCTTCAGGGGCACAGTTACCCCATTCAGGACCAGGGAGTCCTCCACACCTGCCCTATTAGGAAGCCTTCGGAAGTCAAATATTTCCATTTGCAAGTCAATTCAACACTGGCCATTTTGTATTTCAGCAGAATCTTGGCTAGGTTGCAAATTAATGGATCACTTTACCCAGCCAGATGGGTGGGGTATAAGTAATAAAACTATTAAAATTATTACTGTCATTTTTCCTGACTAAGGAAACATCCCCCAACCCTTTTTTTGTCTCCTAGTCCTGGTCTTTTGCTAGGAGGTGTGTTGTGTGCAGGTCCCAGCAACAGAGGTGTTGCCAGTGAAACTGCTCTGCCTTGAGGGCATCTCAGTAGGCTGGCTGTTTGCCAAATTGCTTGGGATCTTACCACCAAGAGATTGCAACGCCCATGCCATAATTTGCGCTTAATGAAGGCTTTGGAGATGTGCAGAGCAGAATGTCAACAAGGTCCTTATCTATGCATCTAGATTTCCACAGCGCATTGCATAGAACCCTACAATATGCACCTCTGAGGCTGCTGGCTGGAGGAATCCCGGAAACGTAGAGTTGGGACCCAATGGGTCATCTAGTCCAACCCGCTGCAATGTGGGAATACTAGTGAAAGAATCCCTGACAGGTGGCCACCCAACCTCTGTTGAGAAAGGAAGGAGAGTCTACCACCTTCTAGCTTAGGGGTCAGCAAACTTTTTCAGCCGTGGACCGGTCCACTGTCCCTCAGACCATGTGTAGGGCCAGACTATATATTTTTTTTTCTGGGGGGGAATAAACAAATTCCTATGCCCTACAAATAACCTGAAGGAGCGTCTCCACCCCCATTGTTCTGCCTGGACACTAAGGTCCAGCCCTGAGGGCCTTCTGGCGGTTCCCTTGCTCCGAGAACCCAAGTTACAGGGAACCAGGCAGAGGGCCTTCTCGGTGGTGGTGCCCACCCTGTGGAACGCCCTCCTACCAGATGTCAAAGAGAAAAATAACTACCAACCTTTAAAAGACATCTAAAGGCAGCCCTGTTTAGGGAAGCTTTTAATGTTTAATAGGTTTTTGTATTTTAGTGTTTTGTTGGAAGCTGCCCAGAGTGGCTGGGGAAACCCAGCCAGATGGGCGGGGTACAAATAATAAATTATTATTATTATTATTATTATTATTATTATTATTATTATTATTACCCAGAGATGCATTTTAAATAAAAGCACACATTCTACTCATGTAAAAACACACCGATTCCCAGACCGTCCGTGGGCTGGATTGAGAAGGCGATTGGGCCGGATCCGTCCCCGGGCCTTAGGTTGCCTACCCCTGATCTAGCTCTTATTATGATTTCACACTCTTCAGTTAAAACATTCCTGCTTTCGAGTAGCTGGGGAAACCCAGCCAGATGGGCTGGGTATAAATTATAAAATTATTATTATTATTATTATTATTATTATTATTATTATTAGGCAAGCAGTTGACCTGATTTCTCATTGATGCTTCTTAGTGTGTTGTGGTTTTCATGGCCTGCTCAGAGGTAAACTCTGGTCTTAATAGCCTCATGCAGAACCTCCTCCTTAGAAGGAAATGTGCTTTGCGCTACTTACTTCAAAATGTGTTAAGCCAGTCCAGCTCTGTTTGGGGGTGCCCTTGTGTTAGAAGTAAAAATCCTGCTCCTTATGGGGCAATCCAGTCAGATGGGTGGGGTACAAATTATAACAGTCATAATCACTGTGGTCTAAACCACTGAGCTTGCTGATCAGAAGGTCGGCGGTTCAAATCCCTGCGACAGGATGAGCTCCTGTTGCTTTGTCCCAGCTCCTGCCAACCTAGCAGTTCGAAAGCATGCAAAAAAAAGTGCAAGTAGATAAATAGGTTCCCCTCCGGCGGGAAGGTAAACGGCATTTCCATGCGCTGCTCTGGTTTCGGTGTTCCGTTGTGCCAGAAGCGGTTTAGTCCTGCTGGCCACATGACCCAGGAAAACTGTCTGTGGACAAACGCCGGCTCACTCAGCCTGTAAAGCGAGATGAGCGCCGCAACCCCAGAGTCGTTCGCGACTGGACTTAACTGTTAGGAGTCCTTTACCATAATAATATTCAAACAGTCCTCTAAGCAGGAAACACCTGCCCCAATAGAACAGTCTGAATTTGGTCTCTGGAAGATCTTCATCCTCTGGTTTGGGTGAACTTCAGGATTCAGAATGTGGGAGCAACCAGTTCTCCATGGGACCTTGAGAAAAACACCTGGGCATTCTATCTGATGAGGATCTCTCAGCTAATTTTGGAGGTATCCATACCTCTAAGGCACCAGTGTGGAACCTGTGGTCTTCCAGATGTTGAATGAGAGCTCCTGCTATCCCTGACCTTTGACTATGCTGGCTGGGACTGATGGGAGTTGAGGCGAAACAGTATCTGGAAGAGCAAAGTGTTCCTCACTCCCTGCTCTAAGGCGTGTTGCTTTGCCCCAAGGTGCTCACAGCCTTGAAGGTCACAGCCAGACTGAGACAAACGTTGATTTATGTTCACCTGGGAAAGAGATGCCTTTGCTTGACTTTTGCTTCTCTCTTTTCTTTCCGCACAGCCCACGCCTTTTTTTGCTACAGGTGCGAAAACGAGCCTTCCAACTGGAACTGTATGAAGGCAGTTAAGTGCGCAGAACAGGACCAATTCTGTACCACCATCACTTCCACGTCAGGAACGGGTAGGTAGCAAACCTTTATTATATTCTCTCTGAAGCTACAGTTGCTGAGCGTGAGGTGAAGCCCTATCCCTCAAGGTCGCTAGCCAAGGGCACTGGCAGTATGACAGATCACTCTTCTTCCTAGGCTGGGTGAAAAAAGGGCAAAAACAGGTTACTGACTGGGACAGAGTGATGTTTGCAGCTATTGTTAAAGTTGCAAAAAACAAAGAGCACAGGTCTGAGGGAGGGAGGAATTTTTGTAACAACATTGGTGTACCAGCTCCGCTCAAGGCATGACGGATAGCAGCAACAAGTGAGAAAAGACAGCCACAACATTTTACAAAGACAGGAAGAAAGAATAGGGACAGAATAAATGTCACACACTCGAAGAACAATGATATAGTATGAGATCTTCACTTATAAATTGTTGAATGTGTTAACACAAATAGAAGTTATATACAGTGTTACCTCGGGTTACATACGCTTCAGGTTACATACGCTTCAGGTTACAGACTCCGCTAAAATATTACCTTGGGTTAAGATCTTTGCTTCAGGATGAGAAAAGAAATTGTGCAGCGGCGGTGCGGCGGCAGCAGGAGGCCCCATTAGCTATAGTGGTGCTTCAGGTTAAGAACAGTTTCAGGTTAAGAACGGACCTCCAGAACAAATTAAGTTCTTAACCCAAGGTACCACTGTATATTGCAGCTGTTGCATAAGGGATTACTAACGCCCTCCCACCAGATGTCAAAGAGAACAACAACTACCAGACATTTAGAAGACATCTGAAGGCAGCCCTGTTTAGGGAAGCTTTTAATGTTTGACGGACTACTGTATTTTAATATTTTGTTGGAAGCCGCCCAGTGGCTGGGGAAACCCAGCCAGATGGGCGGGGTGTAAATAAATGATGATGATGATGATGATGACTGGAATGTAAGTGAAATCATTAAGATTTTGGAACGCAGAAACAAAGTAAATAATCAAACCATCAATTCTAGCATGCGGGGGGGGGGCACCTAAATTACATAATTGGGCATTTGTATGATTTGTATTAGGAATTGTATTATAATCTGGCAATGTTATAATGAGGCTATTATTGGATTATTGTAATTGGAAAACTAATAAAAATTATAACCCAACAGAAAGAAAGCTAGCCGTCACTTATGGCCCATCTGCAAGCTCTGAACTCAGCTCCCATTGCTCTGTCCCAGCTCCTGCAAACATAGCAGTTCAAAAGCACGCCAACACAAGTAGATTAATAGGTACCGCTGCTGCAGGAAGGTAAATGGGGTTTCCGTGCAGTCTAGTTTCCGTCACGGTGTCCCGTTGTGCCAGAAGCGGTTTAGTCCTGCTGGCCACATTACCCGGAAAGCTGTCTGTGGACAAACACCGGCCTGAAAGCGAGATGAGCGCTGCAACCCCCTAGTTGTCTTTGAGTGGACTTAACCATCCAGGGGTCCTTTACCTTTTACCTAGTAAAGGTAAAGGGGACCCCTGACCACTAGGTCCAGTCGTGGCCGACTTTGGGGTTGCGGCACTCATCTCGCTTTATTGGCCGAGGGAGTCGGCGTACAGCTTCCGGGTCATGTGGCCAGCATGACTAAGCCGTTTCTGGCGAACCAGAGCAGTGCACGGAAACGCAGTTTACCTTCCCACCAGAGTGGTACCTATTTATCTATTTGCACTTTGACGTGCTTTTGAACTGCTAGGTTGGCAGGAGCAGGGACCGAGCAACGGGAGCTCACCCTGTCGCAGGGATTCGAACCGCCGGCCTTCTGATCGGCAAGTCCTAGGCTCTGTGGTTTAACCCACAGCGCCACGTGCCAAATAAGCAAATAAAATCCGCAAACGACAGTTTGAAATGTCGTGACTTTAAACTCAGGGAGCATCCTCATGGTCTTTATTTTAACGATGGTCTCCAGACATTTTGCTGGGCGTGGAAAGACTGAGCAATGGGAGCTCACCCTGTTGCGGGGATTCGAACCGCCGACCTTCTGATCAGCAAGTCCTAGGCTCTGTGGTTTAACCCACAGCGCCACCCGCGTCCCTTAGCTTTTACCTACCCATGTATAATCGCCCCCTTTCATTCCTGTCCTCCAGGCAAGAACGCCGTGTACCAGCTTAGCAAGAGATGCACCCCGACTTGCACGGAGAACTTCATCGACACAGGCCTGACAAGTGTTTCGACCAAGTGTTGCAGCCATTCCTTCTGCAATATCAGCGGGGCCACTAGTGTCAAAACCAGCAGCCTGCTGATGGCCGTGGGCGTCCTTGCCAGTTTCTTCTACATCTTCCAATCCGTCTTGTGAGGAGCCTCTGCGGAGCAAAGGTCACAGTTCTCCTATCCAAAACTGTCAAATGTCGCTCCCCTTTCCCTTGTTCGAGATCAAGAATCCCGTCGTGGACAGCAAACGCCACCCCACGGAAGCATTGCGGAAGAGCTTGCTCACATGGATCATTGCCCTGAATGCTAAAATTCCTGACTTCTTGCTTGGTGTTAGAATCCATATTGTTAGTTCTGCATTTTGCTGAGGCTTGGGAGTATATTTGTTTGAGGATTTGTAGGAAGTTGGGGCCAAATTTCATGTTAGTTAGTACTGCTAATATGTATTTCCACTCCAAGCAATCAAAGGCTTTGAGGATGTCTAGGGACATAATTGTCAATGGGAGTTTGGTTGCCTTGCTGTGTTCGATCAGGTTCAGTAGTTTCCTGATGGGGTCTGTTATATTGCGGCCAGGGACAAAGCCAGTCTGGTCTGGGGCTATTAACTTGTGTAGGAAGATTTTAGGCGGTTGGCCAAGATTGATGTGAATATCTTGTAGTCTTGGTTTATTAATGAGATTGGGCGGTATGATTCTACTTTGAGGCTGTCTTTTAGTGGTTTTGGGATGGAGACTATCTTGGAGTGGGTCCAGGTTTTGGGGATGGGGCCCCCTTTTATGATGTCGTTGAATATTGCAGAGCGTGGAGTTTTCTCCACCTGCCCAGAAACCTCTCGCTCCTCTTTGGTGCTGCAACGCACCATCTTCTCCTCCCCAGTCCCTCGACAAAGCAGCTGACGAGTCTTCTCCTCCATCCACCCCATATCATTCCCCACCCCACCAAAGCCTCAGGTCATTCCCAGACAACACGTTTTCCGACTGGTTTGCACAGAGTTTGGTTTGCACAACCTTTGCCATTCCCAGACAACCGACGTGCAAAATCAGTTTGCACAAAGTTTCGGAGGAAGTTAAATAATATCAGGTGTTTGCTAAGCATTTGTGGCGCAGGGGAGATCACAAGAAATTGCATCCAGCAAATGCCATCTCATACGTTCCTTTATCATTCCCCATTGCTTCCCTTATTGCAGGGAGTCCCAAGGGGGGCAGATTGGTTGCACAAACCAATTTTTATTTTTCTGCCGGAGTTTTCTTTTATGTTAGAAGAGCAAAAGGCTGGAAGAGCCGCAGGTTTTTGTGAGCTCAGAGCAGGTCTGCAACACTGGCTCGAGCTGGTTGCACGATCACCTTTCCTAATTTTCCCAGGCATTCAAAGAAGTCTATTTTTTTTTTTAATGTGTGTATGTATTTTGGGTGGTGGTTGCTAGAGATCTCTAATTTAAAAACAAAAACAGAGGCTGTGCCAAGCTACAGTTCCTGGGGATTTCATTAGAACTGAGATCTTTTGATTTTAAAAAATATCTAACAAATAAATTAAACAAAAAATAAACCAGCCTCATAGTAACTGGACCAGGCCAGCCCCCATCGATTGGCTGGGCACAAGATCAGAAGCTGGAATTGGCGTTTGTCGGGTGGGGAGAAGGCAGAAGCAAAAGGAGCCATCAGCTGATGGAGGTGGAAGATACAGGATGTTTTTAAAAGTCTCTCCCACTTTGCACCTTCCTCCACATTTGATGTTCTGTTCTGCTCTTTCGCGCCTGTGATTTGTAAAGCTGGAGCGCATGTTAATAAAGTTTTGCCATTTAAGATCTGCAGCCTCAGTCGTCATTGATATTCTGTTTCAGTAGCCATGACAATGTTATAAACTGAAGAATAGAATTGGGTTATTGGGTTATTGCTTTTGGTCTTGCTGTGAACCAAAAATCTCCAAATGAATCCGAACTACAATGTCTAAAATCCCTGGTAGAGGACAAGGATCCTGAGATCACGTTAAAGGTAGCCAAATTCTGTGCGACTGGCATAAAACTTAGGGAACAAGCTGTGCTATCATAATGATTAAGGTTTTAAATGGTAATTTTAGGTTATATGTTAATGACTAAGTTTCAATTTAATTTATATATTTTTTAACTGTTGCTATATCTAAGTGCAAATTCAAATGTATCCCTATCGTGTTCTATGACTTCCTTGATATTGTATGTGGGCTGGAACTGGTCTGTGACCGAAATAATAAATTCAAATATTCTGTTTCAGTAACCATGACAATATTAAAAAACTGAAGAATAGAATAATAGAATTGGGTTATTGGGTTACTGCTTTTGGTCTTGCTGTGAACCAGCCTGAGACCTCTGGACATAGGCGGTGTATAAGTTGAATAAATAATAAATAATAAAAATAATTGCAGAGTTGGAAGAGATCCCCAAAGGTCATCTAGTCCAACCCCCCTCCAATGAAGGAATCACAGCTAAAGAATCCCTGACAGATGGCCATCCAACCTCTGTTGAAAAAACTCCAGTGAAGGAGATTCCACGACCTGCTGAGGAAGTCCCTTCCACTGTGGAACAGTTCTCACTGCCCAGAAACTTCTTCCTAATGTTTAGTCGGAATCTCCTTTATTGTAATTCGAATCCGTGACTTGTGTCAGACGGCGGAGGAAACAACCCCACAGCAGGCTGCCAGGAATAGATAAGGCAAGGAAAAGTCCTTACCACCTGATTTTTAATCAATATTTCTGAGCCCTTTGCTCTCCTACTTTCAAGGCTCGCCGGGTTTTGGGAGATGGAGGGTCTGGAATGCTTTCTAAAGACACTGTGTCCATCAGTTGTTGCCATTCTGGAGGTTCCTCTTCCTTCTCCTGTTCTCCCATTATTTCCGAGCTTTCCCGTTGCCACTCCCACGGGCCCGACCTGCCTGGGCTAAGAGGGCACTTGTGCCCGCCACCTCCCTCCGCGCCTGGCCCAACCCAGCCTCACCCCTTCGCCACGGCGCCGTTGCCGGAGAGAGGGAGGAAGGAAGATGGGGAAGGCCATGCCAGGATCGCAGGCTGGGAGCAGGCAGGCAGGCAGCCGTGGCTGCTGGGCAGTCTGTCTGGCATAGCTGTCAACCGTCCCTTATTTGGCAGGAAACTCCCTTAACCCAGCGCCATGTTCCGCTGCTGTCCCTTATTGATGATGTCCCTTAAATTTCCCGGGTTTCATGCTCGTCCGGCTTGGGAGGCAAGCAGTAGCTCGGGGTCCTCCGCCACGACAGAGAGAGCATGCACACGAGCTGCCGCGTCTCTGTCTCTCCCTTTTCCCCCTCAAGGGCGCATCGTGAGGAGACAGGTGGCGGCAGGCGGGCAGGCAGCCCCTCTCTTGTGAGACTTTCGCTGCGCTGCTAGGGGAAGCCGGAGGTGGCTGAGGAGGCGGCCTGAGGGAGGAGGAAGAGGAGGGGATGGGGAGGGACGCAGAAGGGCGCCACTTCAGCGGCCACCGCGGCGCCGCAACCGCCTCATGCCGGGCTCGCGGGCGAGAGTCTCTCTTCCTCCCTCCCTCTCTATCGGGTGGGAAAGGGCCAATGGAACTCCTCGTGCCAGGACGACGGCAGCCCGGCATGCATAAGCTAAGCAAAATCCTTTATTTTGGCTGCTGATCCCTTATTTTCAAGGCTGCTGATCCCTTATTTTCAAATCTGTAAGTTGACAGCAATTCTGTCTGGGGTGGGGGCTTTCCCTCTCCTCCTGGCTGCCACCACTCACCTGGTCTTAGGGCTGCCCCATCCTCCCCATTGCAGCAGCCTGAGAGCAAGCTAGCCAGCCAGCCAGCCAGCTGGGGACTTTGGGGAGCCTCCCCCCAAAAGCTCAAAAACTTTGGGCACTTTGTGATAAATAAATGGATTTTGGTTTGCAGTTTGGGCACTAAGAGGTTCGGCACCACTGGCTTAGCAGATCAGCATATTTGTGCCTGGGTGGGGCTGGGAATAGTCTGGCCCCTGGGCCCTGTGGCATTTTTCCATCTCTGCCGTATTAAGCAGTTGGTCCCTTACCTTTCTCGCCCTGATCTGGCCACAGTGATCCATGCAACGGTCACCTCCAGGCTTGATTATTGTAACTCGCTCTATGTGGGGCTGCCCTTGAAGCTGACCCAGAAACTCCAGTGGGTGCAGAATGCCGTGGTGAGGATCCTTACAGGGTCCTTGCTGTGGGATCACATTCATTCAGTGCTATACCAGCTGCACTGCCTCCCGGTGGAGTACAGGGTCAGGTTTAAGGTGCTGGTTTTGACCTTTAAAGCCCTATGTGGCCTAGGACCCTCGTACCTACGGGACCGCCTCTCCTGGTATGCCCCACGGAGGACCTTATGGTCCTCAAACAAAAACATCTTGGAGTTCCCAAGTCACAAGGTGGTTAGATTGGTCCCAATTATAGAATCATAGAATCCTAGAGTTGGAAGAGACCACAAGGGCCATTGAGTCCAACCCCCTGCCAAGCAGGAAACACCATCAGAGCACTCCTGACATATGGTTGTCAAGCCTCTGCTTAAAGACCTCCAAAGAAGGAGACTCCACCACACTCCTTGGCAGCAAATTCCACTGTCAAACAGCTCTTACTGTCAGGAAGTTCTTCCTAATGTTTAGGTGGAATCTTCTTTCTTGTAGTTTGGATCCATTGCTCCGTGTCCGCTTCTCTGGAGCAGCAGAAAACAACCTTTCTCCCTCCTCTATGTGACATCCTTTTATATATTTGAACATGGCTATCATATCACCCTTTAACCTCCTCTTCTCCAGGCTAAACATGCCCAGCTCCCTTAGCCGTTCCTCATAAGGCATCGTTTCCAGGCCTTTGACCATTTTGGTTGCCCTCCTCTGGACACGTTCCAGTTTGTCAGTGTCCTTCTTGAACAGTGGTGCCCAGAACCACTGTTGCTCCAGGTGAGGTCTGACCAGAGCAGAATACAGTGGCACTATTACTTCCCTTGATCTAGATGCAAGACTCCTATTGATGTAGCCCAGAATTGCATTGGCTTTTTTAGCTGCCGCGTCACACTGTTGGCTCATGTCAAGTTTGTGGTCAACCAAGACTCCTAGATCCTTTTCACATGTACTGCTCTCAAGCCAGGTGTCACCCATCTTGTATTTGTGCCTCTCATTTTGTTTGCCCAAGTGCAATACTTTACATTTCTCCCTGTTAAAATTCATCTTGTTTGTTTTGGCCCAGTTCTCTAATCTGTCAAGGTCGTTTTGAAGTGTGATCCTGTCCTCTGGGGTGTTAGCCACCCCTCCCAGTTTGGTGTCATCTGCAAATTTGATCAGGATGCCTTTGAGTCCATCATCCAAGTCGTTGATAAAGATGTTGAATAAGACCAGGCCCAAGACAGAACCCTGTGGCACCCCACTAGTCACTCTTCTCCAGGATGAAGAGGAACCATTGATGAGCACCCTTTGGGTTCGGTCAGTCAGCCAGTTACAAATCCACTGAGTGGTAGCATAGTCAAGACCGCATTTTACCAGCTTCTTTACAAGAATATCATGGGGCACCTTGTCAAATGCCTTGCTGAAATCAAGGTAGGCTACATCCACTGCGTTCCCTTCATCTACCAGGCTTGTAATTCTGTCAAAAAACGAGATCAGGTTAGTCTGACATGACTTATTTTTCAGAAATCCATGCTGACTATTAGGGCCAGGGCCTTTTCAGCACTGGCCCAGACTTGGTGGAACGCTCTGTCACAAGAGCCTAGGGCCCTGCGGGACTTGACATCTTTCCACAGGGCCTGCAAGACAGAGCTGTTCCGCCTGGCCTTTGGTTCGGACTCAGTCTGACCCTTATGTCTTCCCTCTCCTTACGGTTTTGATTTATGGGCTACTTTTAAAATGAGGCTGCTTTTTAAATTGCATTTTAACCTGTATTTTAAATTGCCCCCCCCCATTATGTTTCCATTGTAATTTTACTGGTGTTAGCTGCCCTGGGCCCGGCTTTGGCCGGGGAGGGCAGGGTATAAATTAATTAATTAATTAATTAATAATAATAATAATAATAATAATAATTATGTAGCCTTCATACTAGGGATGGAGAACCTATAGCCCTCCAAATATTGCTGGGCGACATCCTAGCCAGTGTGGCAATGGGTACGGATGATGGGAGTTGTAGTCAGCAACATCTGAATGGTCGAAGGCTCCTTGCCCCTAACTTTTACCAGCAAATTGCGAGCCGTCATGAAATACAGTAAAAAAATACGGCCTGGATGGCAAGTATCTAGGATCTAGTCCCCAAATCAATTCCAGATTAGCTTGGGGTATAGGGAGCCAATCTCTCTGCAACCAAAGGTGGCCATATATCAGAAATCGATATCACAGTGTGAATGAAATACAGTGGTGCCTCGCAAGACGAAATTAATCCGTTCCGCGAGAGTCTTCGTCTAGCGGTTTTTTCGTCTTGCGAAGCAACCCTATTAGCGGCTTAACGGATTAGCGCTATTAGCGGTTTAGCGGCTATTAAAGGCTTAAAGACTTAGCGGATTAGCTGCTAAAAGGCTATTAAAAGCTATTAAAGGCTTAGCAGATTAGATAAAGGGAGGGAAAAGCGAAAAAAAAATATCTCTAGACTCGCAAGACATTTTCGTCTTGCGAAGCAAGCCCATAGGGAAATTCGTCCTGCGAAGCAACTCAAAAACGGAAAACCCTTTCGTCTAGCGGGTTTTCCGTCTTGCGAGGCATTCGTCTTGCGGGGCACCACTGTATACTCGGAGTCGAGAGTGGATTTCATGCTCTTTATAGTAGTGAGGAATGGATGTTCCCCCAGAATGTCTGCTTTATATACATTATTTACACAATGGGCCCCACGTGATTGGCTAATTATGGGATTCTCCTGTAGGCCAATCAGGTTGCGGATTCACTTCCACCTGGAGTTGGATTGGGTGGCTCCTTTGGACCAATCAGACTGCTGCATTCTGGGTCTTATTGTTCCAGCACCAATCAGACTGCTGCATTCTGAATCCTATTGTTCTAGGACCAATCAGACTGCTGCCTTTTGGATCCTATTCAACTCAGTACATAACAGAATGTTTGCCGGTGCTACACTACTCTCAATGGGATGTGCATTCCCAACCCCAAGTAGAAAATCTAGAGGAAAGTGCCAGTACTTTTGAAAGGGAAACACCCCCCCCCAAAAAAAATTGTTCAGATATCAGAAAGAGGAGGAGGAGGAGTTTGGATTTGATATCCCGCTTTATCACTACCCAAAGGAGTCTCAAAGCGGCTAACATTCTCCTTTCCCTTCCTCCCCACAACAAACACTCTGTGAGGTGAGTGGGGCTGAGAGACTTCAGAGAAGTGTGACTGGCCCAAGGTCACCCAGCAGCTGCATGTGGAGGAGCGGAGACGCGAACCCGGTTCACCAGATTACGAGTCCACCGCTCTTAACCACTACACCACACTGGCTCTCAGTGGACTTTCCATGACTGCGGAGAAACAGACTGTTTTTACGTATTATTAGATCCATTTCCACATGGATCTGTGTGCTCGAATGAGAACCAGAGGGTCCCTCCCCCAACATCATTATTTCTGAGAATTATGGAATAAACATGAAAATACATTTACAGTGGTGCCTCGCAAGACGAAATTAATCCGTTCCGCGAGCCTCTTCGTCTTGCGGTTTTTTCGTCTTGCGAAGCACAGCTATTAGCGGCTTAGCGGCTATTAGCGGCTTAGCGGCTTAGTGGCTATTAACGGCTTAGCGGCTATTAACGGCTTAGCGGCTTTAAGAAAAAGGAAACAAACTCGCAAGAACTCGCAAGACGTTTCGTCTTGCGAAGCAAGCCCATAGGGAAATTCGTCTTGCGGAACGACTCAAAAAACGCAAAACCCTTTCGTCTAGCGAGTTTTCCGCCTTCTTAGGCATTCGTCTTGCGGGGCACCACTGTAATGCCTCCTACAAGTAGGGAAGCGTCTCCTCCAGACTGGGGTTTTTCAGTTGGTATATTTTCTGTAACAGTAGTTCATTGACCCACGAACTACTGCATTAGTGGTGGGCCTTATGCACACCATTGTGTTTTATTGTTTTTTCTGCAGTGCTCCCCGCAGTGTTGTTTCACGGTTGCCACCTGCCGGGGCACTTTTGCACGGGAGAACAACAAAAGCGGCACAAGCTTTGCAGTGTGGAAAGTTACAGTATGTCAGCAGAAAGTTACGGGACAAGTGCAGATTGGAAATTGTTACAGAAATTAGGGGGGGACACATCTTTAAAGTTGTTAAATGTTACAAATATTATGCATAAATGTATCCTTTCGACTTGACAGCTCAGGGAAGTTACCTAGCTTTAACAATCATATAAAATCAGCTCCTTTGTCAGTTTCCTCCATTTCAACACTATTTTGCCCTTGGAAAAATGACTCTTTTCCCTGCCATCTCCCCAAGCGTGAGGACATGTATACACACCTCCTACCCCAGGAAGTTCCCGGAGGTGACAATCGCTGAGTTGATTGTTGGCCAAGGAAAGCCTAATCCCACCACCAGACTTGCCAAGGGGTCTAGACATGGAAAGGAAGTTCTATTGTACTTTGGGTGGTGGGACTTCAGAGGTGTTTGCCTATGCTCATCTTACACCTGAGTCTTGCCCTGACATGTCTGCTTATGCTAATGTTTTACCAAGGACTTGTCTGGACAGGTTTGCCAAGGTTAAACTAGTGTAACCCCTGTCTACCCCTCCCCTTTGGTGACATGTCAGTGATGTAGCAATGATGCTGAACAAACTGTGTTCTGGGATATGGTGGGGAAGTTTTAAAAATCCTTGTCACCCCATCCTCGGGGTTCAAAATTCCTCTTTGAACCTGTTGCGCAATAAACTTTGGTCTACAGCTATTTGCTGTATGTTGCTGGCTGGAGTCCTCCTTTATTCTGCAGGGACCCACGGGCTCTGCCCGATGAGCTGGGTGACTGAGCAGCCTCACACCTAGATTTTTCCATAACAGACTGAGTCCCCTAAGTCCACAATCAGTCAGAGATAGAATCATAGAATCATAGAGTTGGAAGAGACCACAAGGGCCATCGAGTCCTACCCCCTGCCAAGCAGGAAACACCATCAGAGCACTCCTGACATATGGTTGTCAAGCCTCTGCTTAAAGACCTCCAAAGAAGGAGACTCCACCACACTCCTTGGCAGCAAATTCCACTGTCAAACAGCTCTTACAGTCAGGAAGTTCTTCCTAATGTTTAGGTGGAATCTTCTTTCTTGTAGTTTGGATCCATTGCTCCGTGTCCGCTTCTCTGGAGCAGCAGAAAACAATCTTTCTCCCTCCTCTATGTGACATCCTTTTATATATTTGAACATGGCTATCATATCACCCCTTAACCTCCTCTTCTCCAGGCTAAACATGCCCAGCTCCCTTAGTCGTTCCTCATAAGGCATCGTTTCCAGGCCTTTGACCATTTTGGTTGCCCTCCAGATGAATGGATGGAGGCAGGTTGCAGTGAAAGCAAGGCAGATTTTATTTTTCTGTTGCAACAGAATTCACTCCCCTCCTTGCAAGGAGGCAAGAGAGACCCGGAACCCAGAAGAAACATCTCTTTTAAGAGTTTTGCATTTTGGTGTGGAGTAGAAGCACATCCCCTCTACAAACAGAAATTACATCACACAGAAGGTGGGATTACTGTGGCTCAGGCAGGCCAGGGTGTGATACTCCTGAGGATTTAGCAAGTTGTACATTGTTCCAGACACGGTTTATAGAAAACATTAGCATTTAATAAGACAATCGGGATGCCCGTCAGACATCCCTCAATGCAGAGCATCTGGGCAAACAATGACAATTAATACAAAGGAGGTTCATAGATATAGGAGAGAAAATCTTTCAGGGACTTCCCCTGATTGCTCTCTGCCTACCTGCTCTCAGGCAAGAGGGAATAAGGAGGAAGAGGAAATATTGAGAGCCAAGATGGCTTTTGGATTGCTCTCCTGTACTATTTTAGACGTATGGTTTACTGTATGTATGTGTGTTTACCTTGTGCAGTTATCAACATTTATTCTATATTTAAGGCCTTAGAATTCCTATAACAATGTATAACCCCCCTCCCAGGTACCATCACTGAGTACAAACCATCATGAATCCGCAATATATGGCTCCACTTACTCAATGGATTGACGACTTGCCACTTAAGAGCAGGTCGCTTATAGACATGGACCAGGGTTTCCCAAGCTCGGGTGTCCAGCTGTTGTTGGACTACAACTCCCATCATTCCTAGCTAGCAGGACCAGGGGTCAGGGATGATGGGAATTGTAGTCCAACAACAGCCGGAGACCCTGACATAAACTTTGCATGGACAAATATAACAAAATTTGAAACTCGTCGATACAAAATGCAGTAGGTTAAGAAATTGCTAACAATTGTTGCAGGAATATGCGATTTTATTTTTCTTCTTTCGTTTCTTTTGCTTAAAAAATGCAGATGTAAAGAAAAAAATTGAATGCACGCTGAACAGGGTACCTGGAGGAGGCCAATGCTTGCCCGGTGTTGCAGGGTCAAAATGTAGCCAAAAGGGATCATTAAACTTTGCAGAACACAACAGTTGAGACGGTAGAGAAAGCAGCTTACTTCAAGGGCATTCCAGACTGGCCCTTCCACTCAGCGTGGACCAGACACTTTTTATTTTGGGGGCCACAGGTTGCACCAGTTGTGTTTGCAGCAGAAAACCGACTGGGGTGCGCTGCTTGAATTATTGCTTTCAGTGGGACATGCCTGGCCACACTTCTTGGTGATGAGAACCTTGGCATCGTCACCTTGAGGCAGGAAGGAAATTAAAAAGAAAGCACATATGAAGCTCTCGCCCAATACAGAATCCAAGCCTAATTACAGATACCGACATATTCATTCTCTGCTGTCTCCACAACTGCCAGAACCTAGCTTGTAAGCTCCTTGCAGCAGGGACCTAGGAGTTTTGGTTGTGGATCATTTGAGTTTTTGACTGGCTATGTTAGTCTGTAAAAGTGCATTGATGATCCTAGATAAATAATTGCCGTTGTAATGAAGATTTGTCCCGAGGGCAGCATGAATGGGGTGGTGGTGGCCAGGGCCGGATTTAGGTTTGATGAGGCCCTAAGCTACTGAAGGTAATGGGGCCCTTTATATGTCCAGCTGTCCTTTGTCGTCAACAAATGGTCGCTGTTTTTTGTGTTGAATATATGCCAGCTGGTAATTTATGGACCTAATAGGTATCTAAAGCCATTTGCACGTAACGAAGTATGTATTTTATCATTATAATTGCTGAACTGAAATACAGTTAAGAAGAAGTATATTAATAATAATAAAAAAGGTAAAGGACCCCTGACAGTTAAGTCCAGTCGCGAATGACTCTAGGGTTGCGGCGCTCATCTCGCTTTACTAGCCAAGGGAGCCGGCATTTGTCCACAGACAGTTTTTCTGGGTCATGTGGCCAGCATGACTAAGCCACTTCTGGCGAACCAGAGCAGCGCACGGAAACGCCGTTTACCTTCCCGCCAGAGTGGTACCTATTTATCTACTTGCACTTTGATGTGCCATCGAACCAGTGAAATACAATTAAGAAGTATATTAATAATGAAATAATGATTAAGCTCTAACTTAACATGATTGGGGGCCCATGACTTACATCATTGGAGCCTACACAACACAAAACACTGTTGCTGTATGTAGGTTTTATTTTATTTGTTTTTTATCTTATATTTTGGAAATGTACACTAAACCGTTTCTGGTGCAACGGGACACTGTGACGGAAACCAGAGTGCACAGAAACGCCGTTTACTTTCCCGCCACAGTGGTACCTATTTATCTACTTGCTTCTGAACTGCTAGGTTGGCAGGAGCAGGGACCAAGCAACGGGAGCTCACCCCGTCGCGGGGATTCAAACAGCCAACCTTCCAATCGGCAAGCCCTAGGCTCTGTGGTTTAGACCACAGTACCACCCGTGTCCCCTGATGAAAATAAGGATGTCCTATTCAATCATCATCATCATCAGTGCTTTTCAATAAGAGTAGGAAAATTAGAATAACCCTGATAAAATTAGAATAAGCACTGATGATGATGATAATATTTTTTATTTTTCATTATGTATTTTTATTTTGTACTTTTCAAGTTTATATATTTCACTAATTTTATACATTTCACTAATTTAACCCAGTGGTACCTATTTATCTACTTGCTTTCGAACTGCTAGGTTGGCAGGAGCAGGGACTGAGCAACGGGAGCTCACCGCGTCGTGGGGATTCGAACCGCCGACCTTCTGATTGGCAAGCCCAAGAAGCTCGGTGGTTTAGACCACAGCGCCACCCGCATTCCTGTCCTCCCTCTACCCATCCCAGGATCTGTGCATGTGGAAATTGCACAGAATTTCCGTAGGGTTTTTGTTTGTTTGTTTGCTTAAGAGGGCAGGCCAGTCTTGAGATCTGTTCAAATGTGCAGCTAAGCAGCTGATCGCAGGACTCACCTGTTTCGTCAACATCCCTCATTGTTAGACATGCATTTTCTTGGTCAGGGCAAATAGTCATTTGCAGGCACTTCCAATTAGAGGGCTGTCTTTCGCAAGTGAAACAAATAATCGAATCAGCTGCAAAGCGAAGGGAGAGAGGGAGATAAAACTTTGGGGGCAGAAAATTCCTGGAGAGCACAATCACTTTAAATACTTGCTTTTAGCTTTTTAAAAAGCAACAACTGATAACTTCATTGTTTTCTATTTTTTGTAAATTGCTTTGATGGTATGTCCCCCCCTCCCCCTTGGTATCCTTTTAACACCCTCCACATTAGCCATGACAAAGGGCTGACCTTGCTGGGTGCATTTTTTTTTATTTTTAAAAAAGCCAGCAGGGTGCTCCTCCCAACCTACCCCCCCCCCCGTCATAGCACAACCATCTTTTGAAACTCTATAGCAGTTTCGTATTATGTGGCGCCAGTAGGTGGCATCATCGTGCAAAACGATGCTCCAAAGTCCTCCCAGGCACACTGCAAAGGAATTGGATCGTGGTGAAAGCGGTTAGTCAAAACCAGGTCAGCATTTGTGATAGGTCAATGCAAGAAATTCTTGGCCGAGTAAACAACAAACAGCAGCTCCTTCCGCCTTTGAGGTGTTGCCAATCAAAGGTTGGCTTATTCTTTCGGAGGCACAGCCAGTCCTCTTCCAGTCAGGACAGCTTCATAGTCTCCTCCACCCCACGCTTTCAGGAATAAGCAAAACAGACCCAGTTTGAAATGAATGCCAACACGATTTCCTTATGGATTTAGCATGCTCTGTTGCAAGTAAATCCCACTGAAGCTAAGAACAGATTCGTGAATTTAGGTTTCTTTCAGTTCCGATTTTCCCCCAGCTCTCCACATTTCTGCAACAATTTGCCTTTAAAAATGTCCTTGCAATATTTCCTCAGTGTTTAAATGTGAACTTTCCCTAATGTTTTTGCATGCAATTTTGAATGTATGTATTTTTGTGAGCAAGTTTCCATATATTGTATTTCTGCACATTATTTCCCCTTAATGTATGCAACAGATTATTTGGTTGGATAACAGCATTGCAAAATTCAGAGAAAGGTGAATTTTGAAGGACAGCTGTGTTCTGGCCTGTGTCTTGTTTTGGAAAGTGCAAATTAATAATAATAATAATTTATTATTTGTACCCTCCCCATCTGGCTGGGTTTCCCAGCCACTCTGGGAAGCCTCCAACAAAGACCAAAAATACACTAAAATGTCACACATTAAAAACTTCCCTGAACAGGGCTGCCTTCAGATGTCTTCTGAATGTCAGGTAGTTTATCTCTTTGACATCTGATGGGAGGGCGTTCCACAGGGCGGGTGCCATTACCGAGAAGGCCCTCTGCCTGGTTCCCTGTAGCTTTGCTTCTCGCAGTGAGGAAACTGCCAGAAAGCCCTCAGCACTGGACCTCAGTGTCCGGGCAGAACGATGGGGGTGGAGATGCTCCTTCAGATATACTGGACCGAGGCCATTTAGGCCTTTAAAGGTCAACACCAACACTTTGAATTGTGCTCAGAAATGTACTGGGAGCCAATCTAGGTCTTTCAAGACAGGTGTTATGCGGTCTCGGCAGCCGCTCCCAGTCACCAGTCTAGCTGATGCATTCTGGATTAGTTGTAGTTTCCGGGTCACCTTCAAAGGTAGCCCCACATAGAGCGCATTGCAGTAGTCCAAGCGGGAGATAACTAGAGCATGCACCACTCTGGCGAGACAGTCCGTGGGCAGGGAGGGTCTCAGCCTGCGTACCAGGTGGAGCTGGTAGACAGCCGCCCTGGACACAGAATTGACCTGGGCCTCCATGGACAGCTGTGAGTCCAAAATGACTCCCAGGCTACGCACCTGGTCCTTCACAGTTACGCCATTCAGGAACTAGGCTCTCCATAAAATGCAAAGCAAACCAACTCCCTCCCCCCAACTTTGGAATGGAAACCAGCAGCCTTAATTTCCCTGCAAAAACAGCCAGGGACATTCTATTAAAGCAGTCAGCCTCTCTTCGGTTTCCCAAAGCGCCATTCTGCTTTCATGCTTCGGTCAGGGAGGAGGGCAAGAGAGGAGCTTACCTATCTGTGTGCAGACGATCACCGCACCCAACAAGGAGAGAAGATAAGACGCCTTCTTCATTGTCGTTGCTCCAGCTGTCTCTGAATGATCAAGTTCTCCTTTGGAGAGGTTATTTATAAAGGGACAAAGGCTGCTCTAGAATCCCCAATTATCTGCAACAGGGTGTGAGCTGTTTTGAAGAAATTTTCCATTGTGCTCCAAAGGAAAACCCAGCAATACATTTGGCACCAGCTTGGCTTCAGGAGTTACGGGAAGGAGGTGTGCAAGATACCATCCAACTTAGGGACTCCACGCTGGATTTTTGTAGGGTTTAATCCTTGACGCAATGGTTCCCAACGGTGCCCTTGACCAACCACATACCGTCTGCAGCTCCCCTGTGGGAGCCACGCACAATGGGGTTTCCATTTCAGGGCATGTGTGGGTGAGGATTCTCCCGTTCTGGAACTGCTCCACCACTTCCCGGTGTGGGTTTTTGGCATGCGTGTAAATGGGAGCGCATGTTCTGATGGGAAGCCAAGCAAGGCCACGGCTCTGTAGGGCCAAGTTGGTGCATTCCACCTGGCATTCCCAAGTCTGCCTTTCCCGAAATTAGTGTGTGCATGGAGGTGGAGAAGATTAAGATTAAGATCAGAAGAAGAAGTGTTTTGTTATTGCAGGGAAGGAGAGAAGCGCGCATTGCAACAAAAGAAAAACACCCTTTCCCGCCAGATAAATGCCAGTGGATGGAGTCCTTAGCATGTTTGCCTGGAAGTGAATTCCACTGAAACCAGTGAGGGTTACTTCCAAGTAAATATGGCCAGGGTCAGGCTGTTAAAGGCAGAACACCTCTGTTTGTCCAAAGTCCTTTATGTACTGCTTTTCATCAAAATAATAATAATAATAATAATAATAATAATAATAATAATAATAATTTATTTATACCCCACCCATCTGGCTGAGTTTCCCCAGCCACTCTGGGACTTCCGGGTCAGCGCCATCGGTGAATGGCGGAGTTCCTCCGTCCGAAGGAACGGGCTCCGTGGAAACTGGGTCTTCCCGCTGTGGTGAAGGTGGGGACCCGCTAGAAATCCCAGGCGGAGGAAGCCTGGGAACGTGGGGTTCGGCAGGGCACCAGGAGCAGCCCCCTACTCGCAGGGAATCCCATTTAGGGGCTCCGGAGCGAAGTGGGGTGAGAAGCGCGGTGCTGTGAACTGACTGCTACTTTCACGGAGTGAAGCCGCACAGCCATTGCCGGAGAGTGCTGACTTTTTCCTGTGGTCAATTGGATTTAAAACAAGTACCCGTGAGTAGAAACGGAAAATTGGATCAAGAAATTTCTTAATTTGGTATTGAAGCGGGAAGGTTCAAAACAGGAAGTCCGCCTTCCGCTTTTTGTATATAGACTAAAGCAAAAACTTTGTAAGCTAAAGCCTGGAAAGCTGTCAAAAAGTCTAAATTTCCTTCATTCAAAATTACTGAAACCCCTTGGAAGCAGGAGAAAAGGGGGGGGGACTTTGTTCAACCCTAGCAGGAGAGGGAGTGAAGAAGGATAAGTTTCCACCGTCTCTAACCTGGGAACGGGGTGTCAGAGACAGAAATTGTTGGAGAGGTTCATTGACTGTGAATGGAATATTTTGACAGATAGCTAAAGAAGAGAAACAAGCTGATTCCAGTGTTGCCTTTTGCATCTTAAAGAAACAAAATATCTGAAAAATATCTGAAAAACGAAAGTAATTTTCCTTTGTTGGACTTGCCTAAAAAAATGGATACAAATAGAAATTGCCTCCTCTAGAGGGAGCTTGTCAAATTGTTGCTGCAGTACATTTGAGGGCTCAACAGATGTGAGATTAAGACCGGGGGAACAGGCTTTTTTGACCTCGACTAAAGATGAGCTGGGAGGAAGACTGGGTGCTTGCCTTATGCAAGACAAGTGCCTTGCTGGAACAGATGCATGAGAAGATGGACTTGATGAATGAGAAAATGGATTTGACTGTTGTGGTTAATAACTGTGGGCAAATAGGGAATATTGATACAGAAATTATTCAGGGACCAACTCATGAATCTGTACTGACTGGGCAAGTGCAGAAGATAATGGAGGAGGATGCGGTTACAACCCAAATAATACAAATGGAGAGTCCCGAGGCCCTACAGGAGCATGAGCCGCTGTCATTGAAGATTGAAGTTGGAGCGGGCCAGGGGGAGTCTGGAGTTGAGGAGGTTCCCAACGTTGGAGAGACCTTGGAATATGATTTTAAATACTTTTTGGATTATATCGAGGACTGTGGAGAGTGGGACTGTGGGGAATGGGCGGGCTTGATGAAGGGAGATGGAGACAATTTTGGCTTGGAATCCCCCAGAGGCCTACTCCTCAATGAGAAAGGAAAGAAACTAAGAAAGAGACCAACAAAAGACAAGGAAAAGTGCAAGTATAAACAAGAAGAAGAAGATCTGCAGAAGGGACATGGAAGAGACTTAAGGGCCTCGGACATAAGGCTTCCAGGTTGATGGACTAGATGGAATGGACAGTAAGGACTGACACGATCCGAGACCAGGAAGAAGAGACGTTGGATGAAGATTGGAAGAAAATTTATAAAGAAAACTTTCTATTTAGGGAATTGGCTAAAAATTAATGAATATTAGGGAAAATGTTGGAATGAAACTATATGACTTTAGCAGAAATGATATCAGGAGTAATGTATATTTGATAACTAAGATTCAAGCTTTAAGGTATTTTAGGGTAAGATAAGGCTAAATAAATTAAGGTAATTTGAATAATAGAATATGGGGAAAGATGGAAAGGATTTGTTGAGCTAATTATTAGGTTAAATTAGGTTAGGATAATTTTTTTAACAAAAATTGAGAAAGATGGAAAGAATTTGCTGAAATAACTAATTAAACTAGAATACAAAAAGGAGGTGTGAGGAAGTCAATGAAACAAGCAAATGGAAGTTTTAGATATGTAATTTGGGATCTGTGTTATTTTCTTTTTTCTTTTTATCTTTTTGTTGTATTGGTTTTTGTGTTTTTTCTTTTCTTTTTATGTATTATAGTGTTGTTGTTTTTTAATGTTTCTTTTTTCTTCTTCTTATAATTCTGAAACTACTAATAAATATTATTTTTTAAAAAAGAAAGAGTTTCCCCAGCCACTCTGGGCGGCTCCCAATCGAGTGTTAAAAACAATACAGCATTAAATATTAAAAACTTCCCTAAACAGGGCTGCCTTCAGATGTCTTCTAAAGATAAAATAGCTGCTTATTTCCTTCACATCTGATGGGAGGGTGTTCCAAAGGGCGGGCGTCACTACCAAGAAGGCCCTCTGTCTGGTTCCCTGTAACCTCACTTCTAGCAATGAGGGAACTGCCAGAAGGCCCTCGGCGCTGGATCTCAGTGTCCAGGCTGAACGATGGGGGTGGAGACGCTCCTTCAGATATACTGGACCAAGGCCATTTAGGGCTTTAAAGGTCAACACCAACACTTTGAATTGTGCTCAGAAACGTACTGGGAGCCAATCTAGGTCTTTCAAGACAGGTGTTATGCGGTCTCGGCAGCCGCTCCCAGTCACTAGTCTAGCTGCTGCATTCTGGATTAATTGCAGTTTCCAGGTCACCTTCAAAGGTAGCCCCACGTAGAGCGCATTGCAGTAGTCCAAGCGGGAGATAACCAGAACATGCACCACTCTGGCGAGACAGTCTGTGGGCAGGTAGGGTCTCAGCCTGCGTACCAGGTGAAGCTGGTAGACAGCCACCCTGGACACAGAATTGACCTGCGCCTCCATGTAGAGCTGTGAGTCCAAAATGACTCCCAGGCTGCACACCTGGTCCTTCAGGGGCACAGTTACCCCATTCAGGGTTAGCAAAAATGAGATAAATGCAATCAAACAAGAAACAGCAGCAGCAGTGTAAAACAGTGAGAAAAGATTGTGAGGGTTGGTTTGGATGATGTCTGTGGATTTGGGGTCTGCAAAATGGGAGTCTGCAGTGGAAGGAATGGCTGAAGTAGTGAAGCCAGTCCCTCTGTTAATATACTGGACTTGGGTGTGTCTGTTGAGCATCCCCTTTCATGACTAAAGAGTTGGCTGCGTTGCCATAGAAACGACGAGCTGATGATGCTTCCAGAAGGAGGAAGTAGGCCTTTACCCCTCACCTGTTGGAGGTCACTTCGTCCTGAAGGCAGGAAAACAATAGGGCAGGAGTCAGCAAACTTTTTCAGCAGGGGGCCGATCCACTGTCCCTCAGACCTTGTGGGGGGCCGGACTATATTTTGGGGAAAAAATAAAATGAACGAATTCCTATGCCCCACAAATAACTCAGAGATACATTTTAAATAAAAATACACATTCTACTCATGTAAAAACACGCTGATTCCCGGACCGTCCGCAGGCCGGATTTAGAAGGTGATTGGGCCGGATCTGGCCCCCAGGCCTTAGTTTGCCTACCCATGCAATAGGGCATTGCCAGTGAAGTGACTGTGCTGTTTAAATCTGCTTTTAATAATGTTTATTTGTTTTTGTCATAGTATTTTTTTGTACATCTCTTTGGGACTTCCTTAATGGGAAGAGCTGCACAAATCCAACAAGCCAGAGGAAGTTTATGGCACTGGAAACCACAAGATAATAATGCCTTGTTTTAAAGAAGGCGAGAGAGAATAAGTTGTTGTTGTTCTTACATGTGTTTCATATGTCTCTTCCCTCTGATGTGGAAAGCTTGCAGTCAGAGATATTTTGTTGACACCTGCACATTGCTACCTCCTTAAATGGGGGCACACGAATCTCCAGTCTCAGAAATGGTTCATGGATGCTGGCTGAGTTGGAGGGCATGTCTAATCTGCAGAGAAATTTTCTGGGATTTTTGTGCCTTGGGGAAAACCACACGACTGCTGATGAATGTGAGAAAGGAGATAAAAGATTGGATAGAGCGCCAGGACGAATGCGGCAGATCACTTTCTGAATTAGAAAATCATGGGCACTTCCAGTCACCCAACACATTGGTGAAGTAACAAAATAGGCTGACGTCAAGAGCCTTGTTGCACAACTTAGTCATTAACGAACCCTATGATTTAATTACTTCAAATGGGGAGCTGGAAAACAAGGTTGCTAGCATCTA